AACAAGAACAATCCGTTGTATTACTATATTTTATAAGTATTCCGGTATGTAAAATTTATCTTCTTAACTTTGATTTATGTAGTTTTTTTGTACTAATCGTTTAAATTTGTTTTTGAACTCGTCCAGCGATTTACTCATTTTCAGATCCGTCTCAAGCTTATTCCACAGATTGACTCCTATTACTGATACACACCTTTGCTTGATGTTTGTTCTTGTTCTGGATTTTTTGTATTGATTAACACCTCTTAGATTATAACAACTATCTCTAATTTCAAAAAGCTTCTGGATATTTTGGTAAAGGAGATTGTTATGTGCTTTATACATTAATTGGGCGATTTTGAAGTCAACCTGGTCATAGAATTTCATTGTGTTTAATTTGATGAATAGTGGATTTGTGGGTTCTATATATTTCGACCTATTGATTATTCTGATTGCTTTTTTTTGTAGTTTTAAGACAGGGAGTGTGTTTGATTTACAGGCGTTCCCCCATATTTCCACACTGTTTGTCATATATGGGAGTAATAATGAGTAATATAATGTGTACAAGGAACTCTTATTCAACACATCCTTAGTTTTGTGGAGTATCCCGATAGTCTTGGATATTTTTCTTTTAACGTTATCTATATGTGGCTTCCAGGATAGTTTAGTATCTATTACTCGTCCAAGAAACTTATTTTTACATAAAGTCGTTCTATTTCAATTGAATTTATCTTTATTTTAACTTGGTCTTGAATTGGTCTCGTGCCAAAAACAACTAACTTATTTTTTGTTAAATTTAAAGATAGTTTATTTCTGTCGAACCAGTTTTTTAGTTTGGTTAATTCATTTTCCACAGTTTTCAGGAGTTTTTCCATATTTTTTCCAGAGCAGTAGAAGGTTGTGTCATCGGCGAATAGGACACATTTGAATTGTTTTGAAACACTGCAGATGTCATTTATATATTGGTCCAAGCACTGATCCCTGTGGTACTCCATGGGTAATCTTCAGTGAGTTGGATTTTTTGTTATTGAACTGCACATACTGATATCTGTTTTCTAAATAACTTTCAATCCATTTATATGCCATGCCTCTGATACCATATTTCTCTAATTTATTCAATAATATGGCATGATCTATTGTATCAAAAGCTTTTTTTAGACCTAGAAAAATCCCAAGCGTGAATTCTTTATATTCTCTATATTAGTTGCTATTGCTTCCATAAACTCCATTACTGCCATTAAGGTGGTCCGTTTTTCTCTGAAGCCATATTGGTTTTCACTTAACAGCCCGTGTTTATTTATGAAGTTGTCAAGTCTGCGAGAAAATAATTTTTCTAATATTTTTGAAAATTGTGGTAGCAGTGATATTGGTCTATAATTTGTAAAGAATTGTCTTTCTCCACTTTTAAAAATTGGAGTGACTTTAGCTATTTTCATTTTTGATGGAAAGACACCGGCTTTAAATGACAGGTTGCATATGTATGCAAAAGGTCGCACTACAAATTCTATGATCTGTTTTATCAATATTAAAACAGTTAGTTGATTTTTTACTTTTATATGTTTTTACAATATTTAACATTTCATTTTGATTCACAGCAGTAAGAAACATTGTGGAAGATTTTTTTTCTCTGTATTTATCTATTTCAAAAGAATTTATTGGATCAGGAATTTGTTTTGCTAAGTTGCTACCGATATTAACAAAATATTCATTAAATTCCTTAGCTGTTTCTGCAGTTTCCTCAATAATAGTATTTTTATCTTTCATAAAGTACTCCGGATAATCTACTTTATTAGAGCTATTTCTAATTACATGATTTAAGATTTTCCATATTTCTTGAGTGTTGCTTTAATTTTGCTCTAATAATGCATGAAAATGGTCTCTCTTGCTGGTTCTT